TTTAGAGAGTAGACTAAGTTTTATTGCATGCTTTCCAAATACGTAGAACCTATCAGCACTAATATCATATTATTGAGTTGGTTCCACTTTTGTTGAAGCAGTGGATTGGTAGAAACTTAATCCAATTTGGACCAGGTCTTTTGATTTGACAAGTATTTTTATTTATATTGGAGTTTCTTGCCAACCCAGATTACCGATTTAGCTATTGTTGGAGGAATATCAATATCAGAAAAGTGAATATTGGAAATACACAAGTCTTTTTGAGTAAATTCATTTCCGTTAAAGTCTGCTTGCTCGAGATGTGTATTTGTCACGGCAGCTATATACTGACAAGATCAGACAACTCATTGACAAAGGCTCGGCATTATCGAATTTTAAGCGAAGCAGTTGTAATGATCAGTTTAGATAATCAGAGAATTTACCTATTAATTGAATGAGCTATTTGAATAAAGTTTTGTATATTGAGTTTCTGTGAGTGCGTGAAATATTGGGAATTTTAGGAATCTTTTGGAATCGCAGTAAAGCTAATTTTTACTAACTTAAAAAAATTTATAACCCACATCAAAACTTATCCATATAAAATAAGTACCAAAAACAAACAATTATGTGAGTAATTGTTGTCATGTGACTTAGGAAACCTTAGTATTAATTATATGAGAAAATCTTTTTTGGCAATTTTTTTTTTTGTGAGATACTTATTTTTCTGCAGGCTTTTACTAAGTGATACCATGTATAATTATAAATATTATTATATATGTAGGTATAGTTACTGTTTGAATATAGTTTCTATGAGGCCATTATTAAATATGTTTTAAAATTTTGAATTCTACTTATTTTATTAAATGCATTTATAATTTTTTTTCTTTTTGCAACATTTAACAAAAATAAAAGCCGATTTATATTTTTCTAAATTGACGATGTAAACATGAACCCATTCAGAAAGTGAAACATTTACGAAACCATAAAAATGTCATAATTTCCACTTGTTACTAAGCTTATTTCATTTCTAAGAAAAAACATAAAGTAAGACAATATGCTACTTAATTGAGAAAAAGATAATAATATAAGTATAAAGAATAATAAAAAAAAAACAAAAAAATAATTATTAATAATTTTATTAAATTTTAAATTTTTTAAATAAAATTAAATAAAATCTTTTTTATTTAATTAAGTTTTATATTTATATTTTTTATAAACAAAATTTTTAAAAAATAAATAAAAATATTTATTATAATTGCAATATTATATATATATCTATATGTAAAAATTTTATTCTTTAAAATATACTTTGTGACGAATGACTGATTTCTTGGGTCTGTTTAAATATTTACTGAAACTGAAATTGATACTGTGTAGAATGTATTGATTTATAGCAACTTGCCTTGGCCGGTGAAAAGAGGTCAGGGTAATGTTAATGTCGCTACGGTAGTCAGATTGCATTTACTTAGTCAATTTCCCACTTGCATTTACACCCCACAACACCTACAAATGAAATTCACAAAATGACAAGAAATCACAGTCGACGACTTTGTGGCCAACTGGGTACGGGTCACTTGGAAAGTGGTCAAAAAGGTTAACACACTTGAATGCAGTGAAAAAATGCAATTTGCAATCGTTTAGTTTTGCAACATTTTCGATTAACAGTAAAAATTTAAATTAAAAAATAAAAAGAAGAATATTAAGAGTGATTTATGTACGAATATATATAGCATACGTAGTCGTTGAAAATCTAGTGGAAATAAGAGGTTTTCAAGATATGATCGCTAATGCGATATCAGGTGAAATCATGTTTATGTGTTTGTGAGAGAGTTTTAATATTTGCGATATCTTGCAAATTGTAATATATGTACTAGCACAATATATAAACCATCATCATAATAACATTACATACCAAGGTAAACTATTGTTCCTTTACAAAGAGCCTTCACATCTCACAATTTTTAAAAAGAATTTTTATTTTCCTCACATTCAAAATCTGGATATTATGTTCTATATCTTGTCTTCATTGGTTTCATTTATGTTATCCTCTCTTCTCTTTAAAGTATTGGCTTAAAAATTGATTTTATGGATTTTTTATTACTTATTTTTACGCCATAGGCTTTCTATCTTAAATGTAAAATGGACTGCAAGTTTACACACTGTCACATTTTTGTTATCCCTTCAGATGGTTCTGGGACTTTAATTTGAATTACTATTTTGCTTTGTGGTTTAGTGTGGTATGTTGTCAGTTTCTTTGAAGTGAATATATGATTAGCATAAGCTAATATTTTTCATGGTATTTTATTGGATTTCTCAAATACTGATTGTATATTGTATCAATATTTCCATGGAAAATGTGTTGAGCTGATTGAATAGGCTCACTTTGTTGATGAAAGATTATTATATCGTTACCATCATCATTAGTGGCACAACGATTCAAGTTGAATCTTGGACTCCTCAAATTATTAGATCATAGTAGCTGATATTGTAAAAAAAACTATTTTTAAGCAGTATCAGTAGTAGTACTCCAATACCAAGAATTGGTTTACTAATAACGCATTCCTTCTATAGAAAGCCTTCCATAAAGTATTTCTCATATTCTAAGATTTATATTAAGATTTTTGTTCCTGTTCAAAAATCTCCTTTTATTATTCATCTACGTAATAAAAGCCTTTTTTATATGGAAATAATATATGGAATTAATATTATTATACTTTGGAATATGTAAGAAAATAAAGCTATAAAAAAAGCCTATTTATTTAATTATACATAATAAATGCTTTATTACATCAATTTTTTTCTCATTAATTAAGGGAAGACATACATTAATTTCCCATTTATTTATTATTTTAAAATATAGTCACTTTTAATACTTTTTGACCACAAACTCGAACCATCTCATAATCTCTTCGTATGCTACTGGTGAGAATATTTTTCTTGATGTTGTATTTCTTGGTCTAAACTATAAGTTGAAATTTCATAATATTTAAAAGTCATTATTTTGAAAATTGGAGTTACTTGCTTCATATTAAAGGTTTAAATTGTTTTGTTAACGATTTTTAACCTAAAATCTTGTAGTTAAATAAATCTTTACCATTTAAGAAGTTTTCTTCATAAGAAAAATATAAACTTTGAAAAATTAAATCTGTAAATATACTTCAAAGTAACTTACGAAAACAATGCTAATGTAAGAACCCAATACCCTACTATATATAAGAAACATTCCTTACCACCCCAAAGCAAACAACCCTCCAATTACAAAATATTGATTTCATTATGCATCAAATTGAACCAAATAGATACTTTTAATGCTTGTGAGAACTTTTTAATGGTTTAAAAAGCAAAGCCCAATAAATACAGTTAATAATATCAAAATGCAGACATTAAAATGACAATAAACATTTCAAATGTCAAAGTTCAAAACGATCGAATTTTAAGTACTAAAGTGTCAGCCAATAAGCAAGTTAAAAGGAAATTCAAGATTTGTGAGACTTTCGGGTTGGAATAAGTCGCTTTAAAGCGTTTAAATGGATTTAAAAAATGCGTATTTAAATACGAATTTTAGAGCTTATAAAGGTATTTAATATGAATGCATTTAGTCAAGAGGTAAAAAAAAATATATTATAAGAATTGATAATAAAGAGAAAGCGATTTTAAAGAAGTAGTAATATATACTTTATTTAATTTAAAAGAAGCTACTCTAATAAACTGATTTCAAAACAACATAAATAAACTAAGTTTATAAATTTAAAGTTTGAAAATAACTTCAAAATAATTTAAAATTTTTATATTGTATGCATTTTATATACTTAAAGTTTATATCGTATTATGTATACTTCAACTTTTAACAAATCTTTTATTTATTTTAAAAATAATCCAAGGCAACCCTTTTCATTATTTACCCCTCACTTTGCTAGAATTTTATCGACATTTTACTTTTCATTGTTAAAATAAAAGCAATAAGTAGATAAATATCTCAATCAACGCGTTATAAGCTGTTATTTAAAACCATTCAACGACGACAACAAACTGTACCTATAAACCCCTAACCTTTACCCATCTGCCTGCCCATTATCTTACACATATAGTATACGAGTATAGAGAAGAGCAATAATAATAATTTCTAACTAAAAAGTCTTCAACAAAATCACTTAAGTGCTTTATAACAAAACAAACCCCAACCTACGAGAGCAACCCTCAATTACCTGTGCTATACAGACAAACTTTTTGCCTCACACACCGTTCACCGAATTACTTACAGACTTACAGACTTCCAAAGCGTACTGCGTTCAGCCATCATTTCAATAAATTCAAGTCAACCTGAAGTAACGAATTCCTAAAATTTATTTAGCTACTCGCACTCTCGCAGCATTTGTGCACACTTGAACGAGCTGACTTGAAAGTTTGATTTAGCACATAATATAAATAAATAAAATGTATTTATTAGAATGCTTTTAAGTTGAAGACGAAGATGCTTGTGGCAGTGCACGGGTGTGGGGTGCGCAGATTTGCAACAGCTGCCAAGAAGTTTATAAGTATCTTGCAATAAGTATGGAGTATGTGAGATACAATTACACACAATCAAATATATGCAGACACACACAGATATAAACACAGATACTTCTGTGATTTTCAGTCATTGAGAAAACGCCAAAGGCGAGTATTCCTGTTTACATGTAAAAAATATAAACTTCTGCGTACATATTAGTATCCTAATATAATTTTTAATAGAAGTATTATATTATATAAAATAAATTTATTTTTATATAGTTAAAGCGAAATTAAAATCAATCTCAAATGTAAACAGCAAACTGTGGAACTATGGATTACTTTACCATAAATGTCAAATTCTTTTATATGTATTTACTATTTACTGATAGAATATATACTATATAGTACCATATCGATTAATCAATTATTTGTATTTATAAGTTACATATGTATTTATTTACTACTAAAATATTTATGTATAAAGTATCTTCAATACAACTTTATATATATCTGTATTATTTTAATTGTAGATTGGGTTTCATTTCACAATGGGGCGCTTTAGCCGGTCGTTATGCTGCGCTTTGTCCTCCAGGTTGGCCGTGGGCGCCACAACGTATGCCTTTTCATAGTCCTACTCATGGTAAGTTGAGATTATCCTTTTCATTCTGCTATTTGTAATATACTTTTTTCTGATACGTAATTGTATGAATAAATTGTAATTTGAGAAATTTGATTGCACGATTTTGTTCAGAATACTAAAAGCTAATAAATATAGAAAGCAGCTACTGCATCAACAACATTATTTAGTTTGTGTTGGATAAGAAGGATGAATGCTTTATTCCTTTTAGCAAAATGTAGTCGCTTTAGTTTATGTTATTATAACTATAAGCTTTGTAGTAGTTTATTTATTATGACAGATACTTATCGAGAAAATAATGAAAATTTATAAATAGAAGATAAATAGAAGTTATAATTTTTTGTGTATACTGAAAAGAGTTTTGTGTTTTTATTAATAATGATAGGGTTTATTGCTGAACATACAACATATTTGATGGGCTTAATAAGCCCTTATCCAGCATATTATTTATTTGTAAGTCATCGTATATAATTCAAGACTAACTTTATAATTGTTCCTATTATTGAATATAAAATAGCACTATTAAATGTTTTAAGTAAAAAGAGAAGTGTTTGAAATTTTCAGCAAAAATTATTTTTAAGCAAAAAATGCTAATATTGGGACCAAGTCTTTATATACCTATTTTCAATGTCATTTATATATAATTAGAGTTTAAGATAACTATTTTTTTTATTTGAATATAGTATATAATTAATTTGTATTAAAAAACAATTGCTATTTATAAAAAGCTTATCCTTTTTTAAAATTTCAATATCAAAATTCATTTGCACAATTAAGGCGTTATAAGATCAAGATATTAATGATATGCATACAATATATATGTTAGGTTAGGTAATGTTATAAAGGTGATTCTAAGGATACAAACACTTGAGTCTATTAGTCAATTGTATTATCCTTCAAAACTCAAAAGATTCCGTATTATCTGAATCATCTGGAACCTTAAAATAAACTTTAGATGCTCTTTATGCCTCAAGAGAAAACAAACCCTTAACATGTTTTCAATGCCAAGGACAACATTCTTAAAAAAAAGTCTATTTGAAATCGTTAAAAGGATATTTATTGATTTTTACGCTAAAAAAATTGAATAATAATTTACAAAAAAAAAAAAAAAACAGAGGTAAAAAATAAAGACGTAAAATAATGGCAAAGAGTGTGAAAGCGAAATTAACAAAGCCAAAGAACATATGTTAAAAGTAAAAAAAATAGTGATGACGAAAAATAAGTAATATAGTAAAATAAAAAAAAATAGAAAATGTTGCAAAATATGAGAATTAGAAGAAATAAGAAAAAAAATAAAACAACAACGATATTAGATGAAAATAAATAGCAAAGATTAGAAAGAAATGAAAAATAAAATTCCAGATAAAAGTACAAAACAAAAAGAAATGTGTCAAAATAGCAAATTTGTAAGCAAAAAATAGAAATAATGAAAAAATGCGAAAAATAAGAATTAGAAAAACACAAGTAAAACACACAGAAAAGATAACTAAGAAAATTAATGGGATAAAAACGAAAATATAAAAGTGTATATAATTAGCAGGAAAATGAAGAAGAAAAAAAATTAGGAGAATAAAGGAAGTATAAATCGAAAGAAAAAATAAATTAAGAATAAACTGAAGAGGAAACTGAAGATAATAAAAGCAAAAAATGAAGAAAATGAAGATGAAGTAGAAAAATAAAGAAAGTAAGATCGAAAAATTGAGAAGTTAATAAAAAAAAGAACGAAAAGAGTAGAACAAAAAAGGGTCTTTATATACTATATTAATCTGTGAACAAAAAAAAGAAAATTATTAAATACAATTAAAAATTCTAATAAATATATAGTAAATAATTGATTTGTATTAAAGTAATCCGTTTTGGAGTTATTTAAGTTTCATCAAAATTCAAGCTAACGATATTTCTTGATACTATACAACACATGTATATGCCAACGAACGAAATTTACTAATTTGTTTTATTTAATTTATTTTATATATTTATATAAATATTTATATATATTTTATAAGTGCCTTGGTGTACTTATAATCGCATAAAAATAGCGCAACTGATTGATTTTTTTTTTTTTACATTATGTTTATACACATTAGACCCAATTTAATTGGAGTATACCTATACCGACTGAAAATTATTTTCTGTTGAGGTTGTGGGTAAAATGAGAAAAAAAGGTGCTTATCTGCTGTATTATTATCCGGTTTCCACCAGAAGACGTTAACAATTTAAGTAAAACTTTCTAAATGCTGTTCTAGAAAGTGTTGTGTTACTAAATGTTATTCAGACTAACATATGTCCATGCACTACATATTCCTCACACTATGTAATATAGTTGCTGTACTAATTAGACACAATTTAATCGATATATGTTATAACCTAAGTGAAAATTATTTTATGTTGAAGTTGTGGGTAAGCTTTGATTTTCTGCACCAGAAGGAGATATGGAGAGAGAAGGCACCTATTCAATAGTCTTAGAGTATATAGAACCTTAAAATTTTTCTGTGGGGTCTTGCAGTAGTTAGCTCTTAATACCTCAATGAGTTCAACTTCTACGTGAATGTCTATTATTCGAATTTGTCTCTTTATATATAATATATTTAATATTTGGTTAAGTCAAAAATCTCTTGATCCATCTTCCACGATAATCTTTGTCAATAACATTTATCTATGTATTTAGAATACATTTGGTATTCATATAGATTATTAGTCTCGTGGTCTGTAATTCGTGAGATTATCTGTCATTTGCTTATCTATATATAATACATATAAAATTCTGCTAGATTGAAAATCTCTTAATGTCCACTAAATGACTAAATAATATATATAAAAAATCTAATTATAAATACTTTTTATGGTATAATAAGATTTTACTAAAACTCTTAATTATCACTTCATTTCTGTGTGTGCTTAAATATAAAATAAAAATTAGTAGAGGGAAGAAAATCTTTTACGTTTGAGTGATAATTTCCAAGTGCTAAACTACTTACATTATTTTTCCATTTAAGTATTCGCAATAAAATGAAAAATAAATTTACGCACTTTTGCAAAATTTATGAAGTCATTGCTTTGTGCTCGCACTTATCTGACCATAATGAACCGCAAAATGAATGCTTTGATGTCTGTAATGACATTTTGAGTTGTGTGGTCATTGATGAGCTTTTACCCACATTACCGACCAATCCCAACAGACTCAGAGGAATCGCTTTCATTTGAAAAATACGAGCATTTATGCGTATATTAACGCACATATGTGAAATCATGCGTATTCCTTGCAGTAAAAATGTATTAATATTAACATAAATACTCTGTAGATACACTATTATACATTAATTTTTATATATGTACTAAGTGGTGTGTTGTACCTAATAAAGTTATTAAAACACAGACAATGCATTTTCTGGTTCTTTTAGTTTTGCTTTTTAATTTAATTTGCGACAACCGCAGCGAAATGAATGAAGCTCATTTACTCAGTAATTTTGCCATTTAAGTAATTGTTACTTTTGTTTTATAATATCATTATTTTTGCTATATTTACCAAATAGGCTACTTAATTTAATGAAACATTTCACTTGCATAGCATTTTTTTCTTTTCATTTCTGAAAGCTGCTTATATGTTTTACTACTAAAATACTTTTATTTTAATTTTTTTTCTTTGTATTTGTTTTAATATTTCGTAGGTTTCAGACTATTGAGTTTAGCTTGTTTTAACCTCAAATGCCTTTGGGAATTTTGGAATTTCTTACATCGTTGTTGAAGTTTACTTAAGTGCTACTTAAAATTCCTTTGTCAATTAAGAAATTAAGACTTTAACGAAACAACACAAAATTTCATTCATACATCGTTGCAATTAGTTTTAGTTTTAGTTCTTCTTTAATACCTTAAAGAATTTTCTTAACTCTTTGCTTGCTATAAGACTCTGTATGTCTTAAGCCTCTATAAATCGTTAGTAAAATTTTACTAATTTTCATTTTGTTGTATCTTGTATCTGTGTGAGGCTAAATTGCAATTTGTAAATATCTGCTTTATAGATACATGCATTATAATGTGTTTGTGTATAAGATAGGTACGAGTATGCTTATCGAAGTGACTAATTAAATATTCGAATTGCTTTGCATAAATAGTTTTGTATAGTTAAGGATTATTCGATTGCTTATTGTTATGCAAATTCGCGCATTAACAACAGTTTAAGCCCTTTTAATTGGCCTCTTGCATTAAGTAGCTGCAATGCAATTGATTTGTTCATGTATACTAAATTGGCCTTAAGTTCCAACACGTTTTAATCATATTTGGAATGTGCTTACTTTGTTGGTTTCCAAGCTTGCATACGCTGTTCATGCTTCAATACATAATTGTGAAAACACATAAAAATATATATATAATAATTATAATAAAAGAGCTGGTTATGTACATATTTATGTTATATGTTTATAAATATTTTTATCTAAATATGCATGAAATCAGGTAACCAATAAGTAATTACTAAAATTAAATATGTGTTTTACGCATGTTATATAATGTTATACTACTTAATTCGATAATTATTATTGATTCATAATCAGATAAAAAATTAAAATAAATTAATACAATAGTTCTTTTAAACGTATTAAGCTTTGTTTAGTTTTATTACTTATAATTTAATTGCTCATACGCAATGTGGACCCAAATATAATCATTTCTATGCGCGGCAATGCATAAAATATAACAATTGATAGTTGTCTCTTTGTTTGTTATATGTTTTTATGTTTTTATATGTTTTTATATAAATTTAAAATACAGATATATAAGAAATTTTTATGGACAAACTTAAATTTGGCTTGGTAATTGCATTACAAATAAGTTAGAAAGTTCGTAACTTTTTCTACTACAAAGAAAAAGCATTTTTAGTATCCATGTGAGATAAAAATCTGTTTTAAGTATTGGTTAATACAAAATAAAATAATTTATGTTAATTTTAAGTATCAATTAAAATTAAGAGTTTCAAATTTTGATACTGATTATATTCAAAAGAGTAATGTGTATGTGTTACGATATAAAATCAATAATCGTAACGAGATGGCATCACTAAGGTGATCAGCTGGTTTTTATATGGAAAAGATAGTAAGGAGACGCGAGCACATTTTTAACAAAAATATAGAGATTTAAGTAATTGTAATTGAGAAAATAAAAGTTTCTGAACAAAGAAATATAACAATATGAAAACAGTAAATGTGTAGACAAAAATATAAAAACATTTTTACGACTTACAGCATAAAAATATTATAATTTTTAATTAACTTTTAATATAAGAACAAAAAATTTTACATTTTTTCTTATTTTTCTTATTACATATACATATATATTTTAAAATGAGTCATTTAAGAAACTCAAAGATATTGTCAGCGGAATCGATTAAATATATTATATTAACTGAAATGTTTATTAAATATATTAAAAGTTTGAGTTTATTTATATATATATTCTATATATAAAATATTATAAAATATAAAATATATATATATAAAATATTATATATATTTTATATAATTATATATATTCTATAATTTTTTTCAACTTTTCCAAATAAATTTGTCTTCTGTTTAAAACTAAATTAAAAGCCAAAGTCTTTTTTATTTTATAGCAGAAATTTCCCAAAATTGAAAACGCATAAAAATTTTTTCTCCTTCTAAATCTTTAAATATTTATTTATTCCTCAATTTGTGCAATACTATTAAGTCATTTAATTATGACCTCAAAGAATTCCAACAGCTGTCAGCCATTTTAAGAAGACATTGAACACCAACACTTAAGAGAATGAATAATTCAAACATTAGCGCAATAAACAAACGCCCACAAAGAAAAGTAATTAGATTTTCCACCACTAAAATTGTATATACTTAAAGGTGGTGTATAAAATATTGAAAAGATACATTTACGCAAACACTCACTTGTATTTAAATTTCATTAATGGCACAATGAATAGAACTCAGCTTGAGTAATTCTCACAGATTCTGCGCATTAAAAAAGTACAAAGAAAATTAAAAGTATGCCAAGGTGTGGGTATAAATTTTATAAAAATTTAAAAATAAAACAATTAATATGAAATAAGTTCTTAATAAAATCGCTGCAATTTAAAATTTCTATTTAATTTTTAAACTTTACTAATCTCTTTATATGTAAATTAAGTGTATGCAGAAAATAATCTCAAATTTGTGTTGTTTCATTACAGATAGTTCCTCGACAAACACAACAGAGAATCCCTCATCGCCCACATCGTTGAGTCCCAATCATAGCAGCAACAATAATCATAACAATGGCGCAAAATCACCCTCTCCACTCGGTTATCACAATTCACAACAGCATCCACATCTTCCACATCCACATCAATCTTCAACACCGACTAGTAGCAGCGGTCATACACACAATCATCAATCAACACACTCCAATTCAAGCTACATGCTGCCAACAAGTTCGAATGAATCTGATGATGAAGGTGAAGAAATAATCGAAGAGGATGATGGTACTGATGGTCCTTCAGATAGTTCTTCACCACATGGTGACTCAAATCAAACTAAACGTAAAAAGAAAACAAGAACAGTTTTCTCACGTGCCCAAGTATTTCAACTTGAGTCCACATTTGATTTGAAACGCTACCTTAGCTCATCGGAACGTGCCGGTTTAGCGGCATCCCTACGTCTCACAGAGACGCAAGTAAAAATCTGGTTTCAAAATCGTCGCAACAAATGGAAACGTCAGCTGGCTGCTGAACTTGAAGCAGCAAATATGGCAAATATGGCGCATGCGGCTCAACGTTTAGTGCGTGTGCCGGTCTTGTATCATGATGGTACGGCATCTGGTTTTGTGCCACCACCACCGCCACATCATCATCCCATGCAGTATTATGCTGCCGCTGCAGCACGCAACACAAGCCCACCACGTCCACCGCTGCCTTCATTAGTATAGGGCGTGGGGTGTTTGGCGGCAGCTGCTGGCTCAGCGTCGCTATTAAGTACTACATCACCAACACGTTACTTGCGTCCAGCTAGTGATGTGGATTCCGATATAGATGAACCGGCAATCGATGTGGAGGCTGATGAAGATGAAGATGAAGAGCGTAACGAAACTCATCATTTGCTCAACAACAACAAACATTCACCGAAACCCTTGCTAACTGCTGCACATTGTGATTTCCACAATAACAGTGGAAGCTGTTTGGAACGTCTCAGTGCTGCTGCTAATGTACACATAAATGCTGGCTGCGATATAGTTAATGTCAGCATTGATAAATCGATAACCCATAAAGCTTATTAAGCGGAAGTGTTGAGTATGCAAAGCAAAACGAAGAGTTAATAGTTGCTGTAAGGAGTTGCGTGCATTCCTTACTCAATGGACTGTTGGAATGTTTGGAACAGTCGTAGCGAGGTTTGCTAAAATTTTTGTTGTGCTCCCAGAAGTGTTGTAAATTTTTATTGAATTGTAAACTGTAAACAGAAAGCGTAAAGTGGTTTCAAATACAAAGAATAAAATTTCATGTATGCACAATTCTCTGGAGAAGTTCAAATGCATATAAAAAAAAAATTCAAAATGGTTTGCATTTTCGAATAAAACTCAAATGTATGCAAGAATTTGCGGAATATTGTGCCGTTCCTAAAAGTACATCCAAAAGTACTATATAGTACATATCTTACCTTTGTAAATAATATAAAAATATAAAATCTTGCTTACATTTACATTTAGTTTTAAAATATTATACATAATAAATAAGAAACTTTAAGATATCATAAAATGTATAAAATCTTTGTAAAAATAATTTCCAAAAATTTCTTAAATATAGAAATATGTATATTTGCTCAATACTTATTAAAATTTGTCTGTATATATAATCGAAAAATTTTTAATATTTACCAAAATTGTATTATACGATATTATTGTAAAACAGTTCAGTCATTTATTCTAAGTAATTATTTTTTTAGTTTTAATTTTTATTTTTTATTAAGGCTTTAATCTGTAAAACTATATATTTAAAAAATAAAAAGCAATTTTCAGTATAAATAAAAACATTTAAACTAGTGAAAATATACCATAACTTATTAAATTGTATCAAATATATAAAATTAAAAAAAAAATTTGCTTAAGTCACATGGAAAAACCAAATATAAATTATAAAAAAAAACTCTAATGTTTTCTTATTTTTAGAATGATCAGTTGAAGATCGATATATATGAAGATATGGATACAGATAATATTACTGATTTGCATTATTAGAGTTTTATTATTCTGTATAGTTTTAGGTTATAAGATTTGAAATTTTCGTGAGTATTATACTTATAGAATTGGAAGATATATTCAGGTTTTCATGCTTATAACCAAATCAGGTACTAAAAGTATCTCAAAAGCACTACAGCAAATTTTTTTTGTCCTTATTATTTACAAAAAGTTATATCAATTATAAGATAGATATAGATATAACTAGACCAGATAGTGTTATCTATTATAATATAACTTAACTATAACTATAATGAGATTTAGAAGCTTAAATATGTTTTCATCCTACAAAGTAGACTAATTTACAATTTTGTAAATCACTTTTTAGTGTCAGTGAAATTTTAATTTTAATTTATCTAAATTAATCAAAAATTTCAAATGTAATGGCTAAGGTCCTCACACCAGTTGTGATATAACGTGCATAAACTGAACAATCATAAGAATTGTTGTATCGCTATTACATCTGCTATTTGTAGAAAAAAATTTTTTTGCAGTAATGAACAAATAGAAAATAAAGTATAGTATATTGCTTTAAATTGCTATTAGAAAAAGGAAAATTATTTCACATAAGTTTCATATATTTTATTTATAATGTATGGTAAGATACAATAATGTTGTTGATATTAGGGTTAAGTTGTGAATTGCATATAAATTAGTATTAATTAATTTGCAATCTTATCACGCAAGGAATAAGAATCTAACTTTGATTACAAGAATCCATTTTAGTTATTAGAAATAAAAGTGCTAGCTAACAGCAATAAAAAAAAATATTTGAAAACAAACAAAACACTAATAAATTCGATAAAATGAAAAAAAAAAGTTCACGAAAAAAAGCAACAACCAAGCTATTAGTCAACAGCACTAAAAATAGAAAATGATTATTAATTTCATAAAAAATTTCTTTAAAAAAGTTAGTAAAATCTTAAAGGAATATGCTAGAAAAATTACATAAAAATCTAGAAGATATAAAACAAAAGCTATTTACATGATGAAATATGTTAACAATATGTTCTATATTGGTAAAAAAGCAATGAATAATAAAACACCTCATATAGATATTAAATATTGAATATCACAATTTTTTCATTCTCACTAGATATTGTAGTTTGGAACTCAGGTAATAAAATGAGTTATTATTAGTAATGTTTAATATAATAGAAAGAAAAATGTTCCCAAATTAATGACATTAAGGATTGAATAAATATTCTTCTTAGTCACTAACTGTATTTGTCCGTGATGTTCTTAATTATTTCTAATCCAAACTTCACAATTAGCAGCTGATACGGTTATAATGTATTATCTGTTTTCTTGTGGTAAAAACAATGAATAATGTATGTAGCATTTTGAAGTACATACAAATACATATGTAAGAAGTTGAGAATAACAACTAAATATTACGAATAATATGCATCACGATATTATGGTAATAATTATCACATCCAATTTAACTTTTTCAAAAAATGGACTCTGCTACAGTTGTCATAATACATAACTTTAGGAGTAGGATCTATTGTTCACTTTTTAAGTCTTTACTACGTTTACAGAAAAAATGACTTAAGTGTCTAGTAGAACAAGTTATAATCGCGAACCATAGTTAGTGTTGCTTACTTCTTCTTGGTAACTTGAGAGTATCACAATTGGGCATAGATATCTCTGAATGGAAATGTTGATACAGGCGTATTGCCAATTTACCCGAACTTAAGCTAATCTATAGTAATAATATAGTATAATATATAGTATAATATATAGTATAATACTATAGTATAATCTATAGTAATGGCTTAGCGCTTTTAAACAATATAAAATACAAAAAAATTTTGAATTTAACAAACAAAACAAATAATTGCTTATCGAAACAAAAGACGATAGATTTAAGTTTGATATACTTACGTATATCATATTGGAACGAAATTATTCATATAGCTATAAGGGCTATTATTTAGGGAATCTTGTTTTTTAATCTGTTCTTAAAACATTAGTTTTTAAAAAATACTGTACACACACATACTTATATTAGGAACGAAATTATTGTTTCAGCTACAAGAGCTGTTATACAGGGAAGCTTATTTTTTATGTTGGCATCACTGCAAAAAACTTTAAATAGAAATATATACATATGGTAATTTATTTAAAATAATTTTAAGATTATTGATTAGACATGTTGATCAGAAGGTTCAATAAGTAATATTGAATTTTTTAATTAAAAAAAAAAATTTGGAATTACACAATATAATAATATGTATATTAGAAGTATTTAATTAACAAATTCTTACTACAAGGGGATTATTAATCTTTCGCCATTTATAGTAAATTTATTGTATTTAATACAATAAACTTCGTAGCTTAATATAGTCTTCTCTGATACATTTACTACGACATTGTGGGGGTTTTTTTTGTTCTGTATGTCATATTAGTTCTCACAAGTGCTCGAATTCTAAACGTTCAGTACGTTGTGCATGAATGCATTACCTTGAATTTTTATTTTATTACTGTTTCACTTCCATTTATCATCCTTGCACTTTTTCTAATCTTATTTTTTTAAAAGCATTTTTATATTTTTAAGTAATAAAATGCAAATATTAATACTTTTCTTTTTTATTATTCAATACTTTATAGATAATTTTAATTTTAATTTTTAGATCTTTCAAAATATCTTGTATAAAAAAATTTGTTTTTGTCTGTACACATGTAAAATGAGATCAGTACTCCAGATTTCTCAAACAAATCTGTTAGTAATGTGTTTGAAATTTTTTTAATAGCACTGAGACGTCTTCATAGTCTCATAGTGGAAGGATGATTTCTTTATTAGCAAGTGTTTTACGTCTATTTACATATCATATAATAACAGAATTGTTTTAATTCAAATCTGTTTCTGCTTTATTCCAGAGATATTGGATCAAAATATAAAATATACGTACCTTTATATTCCACATAAGTTTAATCAAAATCATTCAAAATCAAGTTAATACTCATATGACTATATGTTGACAGATATAAAATCTTGTTCTTGTTATTTAGAGATAATAGCTAAGAGTGTAATTAAATAATGTAACATAATTATTACAAAAGTAGTTATAATAATAATTAAATAATTATAATTTGGTAGCAGAACTCAGTCACAATGAATGAGGGAATTTTTAATGCATTTACCTATATATATAATTTTAATATGAATGTATTTATATTTAATATTAAATATTCAATATTTCTATTATAATTATTGGATGATAATTTATTCCATATAATTTTATCATACCACAACTATTTACATTAACATTAAAGAAAATATTTTAGAGAAAGGATATTTTTAGTATTATACTTATACTTATGTATATTATTATAATTTTTTTCATAAATCCTCAGTATGAATATATCCTTTCATGTTTGTAATTTTATTTCATTTAAAATTATTTTTGTTTTGTTAATACTGCATTGAATGAGTTTAACGTTACGATAAAAATTTGGCTTCTTTCCACATTATCCACTTAACGTAATCAGAATTTGCTTACAAACGGCTCTTAATATATATAAAATTTTTTATTATTATCAAAAAGAGTAATAATAAAAAATAAATAAAATATAAGAAAAAAAATTATAAAAATAAAATGTCGAAAAAGCCCAAAATAGAGCGGCTGCTAAAATTAATTTGAGACTCGAATGTTGGCAGCATTGTTAGTGGGAGTTGTGAGCCATTTTCCGAAAGGGTTCTTACTAGCTTCTATAAGCTAAATCAAAATTCATTTTTCTTTTTTTTTTTTTGCATATATATATATATATATATATATATAAATTGGTTTGAATAAATGTGTTCACTAATATCTTTCTGTTTTTTTTGTTAAATTTTTTTTTGTGAATTTTTGTATGGATGCAGTCAAGTGCCTGAGCATTTTATTTAAGCACATGAATGGATTTTATGCCTTAAGTTAAATATAAAATAAAAATATAAATAAAAAACTGTGAAGATTTATAATATAAAACAGAAATTCAAATGAAAATAAATTTCAATTCATTTCGTAAATTAGTTGGGACGGGCAAGTGTATAACGAAAATTGTTGCGAAATTATGAAAATTGCTTAAGCGGTACTATGAGCGGAGCAACAAAACTTTCTGGCTTTTGATTTGGGCCACTAAATTTAAATGTGAAGATTATATGAGGTTTCATATTTTTATTTTCGGTAAAATGTATTTTTTGCATCAGAATAAAATTTTTACAACGCTCATTTGTGTGCGGCGGGCACATAATGAGCACAGAATCGCAGTGGTGGTTCGGTGAGGACAGCATTTGCCTGCAGTAATTTCCTAATTAG